AACATTTTCAATGAGACTAGTAGATAGTTGTGAATTACCTGAAACTCACATTCTTTTCCTGGGCAGCACTGCTCTGTTTTGGCTGTTGTTTAAATTTTTTGTTACATTTTTATGTGTATGTGCGTGTGCATGTGTGCGTGTGCGTGTGCGTGTGCGTGTGTGTGTGTGTGTGTGTGTACGCGAGTGCGGACATGGACATATGCCTGGAGGTCAGAGCAGAAGGAATGAGAGGATGTTCTCTCCTTATGGGTTCTGGAGGTAAAACTTGGGACCCTGGGTTCCTTGCGTTTGACAGCAAAACCTTTTCAGGTTGTGCCATCCCACTGGTATCTCTGCACTGTTTATAAGCTCAATGCAGCCCTTTGTTTGGCAGAGTGATTATTCCATTATTATTTTTTTACCCTTGGAAATATTCATTTGAATTAAAATAAAATATTCATAGAAATCTAGAAGACCTCTTTAGTGAGGATACGTGAGAAACAAATAGTGAGGGAAAGACTTGCTGTGTCTCTCTTAGCACTAAGTAAAAGTTAGGCCAGAGAGCTGGAGGCAACCAGCGAACACAGACAGGAGAACTGCAGCTCAGATGATGCCATCCGCCTGCATCCGCCATCAGAGCTGTTTCCAAAGCCACCACTCAGATGTCACTGTCTTGCGAGGCTCTGTGTCAGCAGACCTTAAGGCTTCACAAGTGATGACACTGAGCTGCTCCCCTTTTTCAGTAAGAGCACTCGTTGCTATCAGTGACCTCAGTGACTCCTGTCAAAGGTACCCATGGCAAATGCAGTGATGATGGAAAAGGACAGTTAGTTCCATGTCCTTATAGCAACATTACACACATGTTAATGGCAGATACGAGCCCGGGTACTTCTGCATTTATTCTGATACACATAATTCCAGTTGCAGGGGAATCTGGAGCCCTCTTCTGACCTTGGCAGCATTGCACAACACAGGTGCATTCACATACATGAAGGCAATACACTCATACACATAAAATAAAAATAATAAATAAAATATTTTTAAAAAGAATTTGTGCAATATTTACAGCAACGTTCCAATTAATATGTTATCACATTTGCTTTTTTCTATTCATTATCTTTGCACGTGTTTGTAGCTTCTATACATACACACAGATACACGCATATATATACAGATAAACACAAAGATACACATACACAGTTACACTCAGATACACAGAGATAAATACATACAGAGACATATACACAGATATGCGCACAAACACACACACACACATAATTTAAGCTACTTAAGAGAAAATTACCAAAACGATATATCTTTTACCTCTTGTATTAGTTATTTTTTCTTTTTGCTGCTGTGAAATTCCTAATAAAAGACAATTTAAGGAAGAAAGGATTCCTTCTGGCTCACAGTTCAAGGAAACAGATTCTATCATGGGCCATGGCAGGGAAGGCATCAGTACCAGAGGCCAGCTGGTCACATTGCACCCATAGCCAAGAAGCAGAGAGTGAAAAAAAAGGACAGGGCTATAAAACGTCAAGCCCCACTTCCCCACCCTGTAGCCAGCCACGACTGGGGCCAGCTTCCTCCAGCAAGGCTCCCTTTCCTACACATTCCACGACCCTCCCAAGCAGCACCAGCACCACCAGATGAGGAATAGGTGTTCAGATACATGAACTCCTGCTAATTGTCTTTATAAGGTTTCTTAAACCAAATATATATATATATATATATTCCAAGAATCAGTTTGGCTGAAGCATAGCACTTGTCATGTTTCCTATCCCCTCTTTGATGGAGCAGCCCTTTACTCATACATTCATACCTTTCTATCACATGACTGTGGTATTTGAAGGGTCGAAGCCAGTCTGGGCTTGAGAGATGGTTTCCTATGATGAGACTGGCTTTAATTTTTGGTGGGTTGTCATGGAGGTGCAACAAATCAGACTCTGAATCTCATTACTGGTGGAGTTACGGGGGATGCAGCAGGTTTCTTCATTGTCAGGGTACAAGGTTTCCACTCTTAATGACTATTTTAAGATAAGCTCCACGACAGTGTGAATATGCTGGCTGTCCTCAAACTGATATGTTTGCCACCCAAGGGTCACAAATGAGTTGCCAAGGCATAATCGTCTATTAGACCCTTCAATATTATAGTTGGCTTTTTTGCCTCATTGATTGATTGGATTGATTTCTTTGTGTATTTCATACAGAATATCTCAAATGATCATCTTTATACCCCATCCCCACTGGTATCCTCCCATACCCCCCCCAACTGGAGCCCATATACTCTGTCATCCCTGTTGCTGTCTACTGTGTTGTCAGTGCCCCCAGCCATTCCCCTGTGCAAGGCCATCTGCTGAGTCTAGTCAGCCTATCTAGAGTCCCTTGTTTTAGAAAGATCATTTATTGTTTTGTTAATATATGCCATGAATTCTTAGCTGATTCTACGTTTAATAATCTGCTACTTTTACCATCTCTTGGAAACCAACTTTCCCAGATGTCCTCAGTGAGCATTTCACTCGCTCCCGAGTCCTTTGGATACACCTTTGCCATTCTTTGACTGTTACCTTAATTTCTGAAACAAGTTCCTTCAATCTGATCTGACGCTATCCTTTCTCAGTCCTGGAATCAGAACATCTCCAAGAAATACTGAGCTCCTACAGTGGAGAATTCTACTTAGCAGCTCACTGTAAATTAAGTGTGTTCACTTACTAAAATTGTAATGCTTCTAGAACTTCTGCACCCCAAGAGCTAGAAGAGAGGGAAATAAAAAAATATGTACATGTGGCATATGTCTCTCCACAGACATCTGCGGAGTCCACTCTGTGTGTGTACATGTTCACGTATGCAGGTGCGCATGCTGTAAGAGTGTATATGTATATGAGTGTGCCTGCATATGGACACCTCGGCTGTTGTCCCTCAGGCAACACCTGTTTTGTTTTAATTTTTGAGACAGTGTCCCTCTATGTGATGGCTGGCCTGGAACTCATAGAAATCTGTTTGCCTCTGCCTCCCAAGTGATGAGTGCTGGGATTAAAGGTGTGTGTCACCATGCCCAGCTTATTTAAAAAGGCATGATCTCTCACTGGCCTAGAATTCCCCAAGTAGGCTTGACTGGCTAGACAGTAAGTGAAGCCCCAGGGATCCAACTGTGTGTCTCTGACTCCTCAGCATGGAAATGACAAGTGCAGTGCGCACTGCCTCATCTGGCTTGTGTATATGGGTTCTGGTATTAATTTCAGGTCTGACTGAGCTATCTCCCCAGCTCACAGCACATTACTCACATACGAGATGCTAGATGTTACATTATACCACAAGAATCACAATGAGTGTACTATACAGCTATTATGTGCTGAGAGGCCTATACTTCAGAAGATTATTTAGAATACTTTTTATACTTGTGTTCGAAATTTACTTTAATCTGAAGATCAATTTTGAATAAAGCTAAAAATATTTATAGAGTACAACTCATTATTATTATATGTGCATACATTGTGGACTAGCTAATTCAAGCTACGTCATCTGTGCATTATCTAACACACATTATGTTTTTTGGAGAGAAAATTTAAAATCTACTTTTGCCAATTTTTAAAGTATATATACGCTGTTATTACCTGTAATTATCATGCTGAACAGTAGATCTCTTGATTTTATTTCTAATATCTAACTACTGTGTGTGCTTTGACCAAGTTCTCCCGATTCTTTCAGTGCCTTCCAAGGCCTTGGCAAATGCCCTTCTTGCTGCTTCTTTGGAGTGGTCATTTTTAGATTCTACACGTTGGCGAGATCATGTAGTATTTCTACTTCTGTTTAAGGTTATAGTTTGTCTGCAGCTTACTGATCATTCTGACTATTTATTAGCACATTCACAATTTCAACAATCAGGTAGACCAGTTAAAGATTTGGGTTATATACTAAATTTTAGTAAATAGATAATTCATTGTTAAACACGGTAAAACTATAATAAGGGCTTGTTATGAACACTTTTGAGAAACAAAGCTGTATACATCTGTTGAACACCTGGGCTTCATCTTTTGAGTGACTTCAGTTATTTTCATCAGGAGATGAGGGGCCTGGGGTGATTTGTAGGGATGTTGCCAAGAGAAAACTGATAATAAGACTGGTTCTTTGTTGTAGTGTACCAATATTGGCTCTGATTGTTGGATTGTTTAATTTCAGACAGTGGTAAATGGAATTTAGTCCTAATTTTAAAGCCTAGCTGACTTTTCTGGATGTTCCCAAGCACAGGCATTATAGAGGAGTCATTCCAATCACTTTTTAAAGCCTTGGCTATGACGGTGATAGTAAAATTGGTTGAAGCCTGTTTTCCAAGTATGCACAGCCCAGGGATTCTCACATGGCGCACAGGAAGCTCAGAAGCTTGGTGGGGGAGATGCAGTACTTTCCCCCATTCCCTTCCAGAAGACCCTGATTGCCAGACTTTCTAAAAATAACTAGAGGAAGAAAGACGGCCCTTCCAATGCGATCGGCCACTGAAACAAATATACACGTGTGAGGGTACCAGGCTCATTCTCCAAACTGTAACAACAAAATGTAGATAAATTGCATGATTATATGATAACACTCACACTTTGTTTTATGTGGCTTTTAACTGATCTATTCATATTTATGTAATAATAAACAAATGAGAAAAAAGATGTTTCATGACATGGTAGCAGACTGCGTTAAACTAAATAATCAATGACTGCTCTAAGGAGAGGAAAGGGATGCTCACAGGCCTCACAGGATGCTCTGGTGAGCTGTCCTCCCCGATGAAGAGAAAATCAGGCTGATACCCAGGAAGTGAAGAGACCACATGCAGGGGAGAAGGCTAATTGAGAGTTAAAGGAGGTGGTGACTCACATTAAATGGAGCACTTGAGAGACCTGCAGCCTGACTGCAAGGAAATGAAACTCTGCTCATCCCCGATTCACAGCTTTACACGCATCTGTCTTCAGTCTTTGAATATCAAGTTAATTGGGATGGGAAATGAAAGCTTAAGAAAAATAAATTGTACCTACCTGGATCAGAGACAGATCCTCCAGCCGTAATCTGAAGAGGTAGTTTCTACAAAATATAAACAGAAAGAAGGTTTATCTTTCATAGATCAAAAAGAGTCGAAGTCCATAAGCATGACACATGAACAGAGATTTGGGGAAGAAAAACAAATTAAATAACACTTTAACTGTTGGGTATATAAAATGACCAGTAGAGTTGGATGAACGTATAGCCATTTCGGTAGTTTGGGTAGGAAATGTCTGCCATAGGTCCACGTGCTAAATGCTTGGTTCCCAGCTGTGGCATTATTATGACATGGAAGAACTGGTAGGCAACACAGCCGTGTAGAGAAAGGCTAGGTCACTGGAAGTGTGCCCTTGAAGGGGATGCTGGACCTGGCTACCTTTCAATAACTTTCTGACAAGACTTTCTGTTTATATTGTTAAAAGAATCTTATATGATGGAAACCTCACCATATAAAGCAGGTCAAAAGTATCTATATAAACACCTTTAATAAAGTATTTGTGGCAATATTTATTTACAAACACAGGCAGATGAAAACCACAAAATCTTGATAATCCTAACTTGGCAATTTTGAAACCAAAACCTTATATAATCCCAGTGTCTACAAAGTGTCCATTTTTCATATCAGTTGGTTACATTTTTCTAGTTTTTGGAAGGCACAGAGTTGGTACCTGCTTTTTTTTATTTATTATTTCTATTTTATGTGTATGAGTGTTATGCCTGCATGTAAGTAAGTGCACCCATGTTGTGTAATGCCCACGGAGGACAGAAGAGGCTGTTGGATCCCCTGGAACTGGAGTTACAGACAGTTGTTAACTGCCATGTGGGTGCTGGAATTCGAACACGGGTCTTCTGCAAGAACAGTGTTCTTAATCAACTAAATGCTCTGATGGGTCTGTCTATACTACAATCAGACATTACTACACATTTTAGTACTCATCTACTACAATTCCCAAATATTTAAAGGCTATTTTAAAAAATGAATCTCAGTGAAACCCTGAGTGGTTACCACTACTCTTGAACCTGAGGATCTGAAGAAAACACGAGGGATCCCACTGATCTCAATTTCTTTCTCAAACTACTCACTTAAAAGTTTAGCTCTGAGACCACTTTTTTGCTGCAAGAAAAATTCCAATCCAGCTGAACAACACGACCTCAAATCTCTCACAACAAGTTGATCTATCACAGTTTAGGTCAATGACCTATCAAGTTAAAGGTTACAAAAAGAAAGAAAATCTTCACAAAGGAACACAAAATTGATACTCCCAGATGTTGGGCCACTGGTTCCACAAAGTAAGATCTATGTTTGCTGCAAATGGCTGTTCTCCAGGGCACTGCAGAAGAGGCAAGCACTTCATCTTGCAATTGTGTGAGCACAGAGGTGGGAAAACAATATATGTGAGGTCCACAGGAAAGGGCACCAACCTTCCCAACATGAAAGAGTAATGTTTCTGGCTCCCAGCCAACCAAGAATGCTAACCAAATGTTGCACTTAGCGTCAGTTTCTCTAATAGGGCAATGTGTGAGAAGCTCAAAGCGTTTAAGTGGTCCCATTAATCTTTGTAACACCCTTAGATGTAAATGGTTAGTAATAAGCAACACTGTGGCTCTTCACAGGAAAAGGTCTTGGTGCAAAAGGTTAGATGGTAAAGTGTGTGGTTATACAGTTTAAGGAAACCATTCTATTTCCATATTCTCATTACAAAAATAAGAAGCAATATTTGCCAAGAGGTAAACTTGGTTTGTTATGACTATTGTAATTTAAAATATGAGTTTGTCTCTCTTTATTTCAGAAATAAAATTAAACATTTTTCCAAATGTGTTGGAATAGAATTAGACATTGTACATTCACATACAATAAAGCATGTTGCTTTAATGAGGAATGGTGTGAGGATTCCACAGACCCAGCAGACTGAATAATTCAAGTCATAAAGATATTAAATTTCATAGATGCCGAGTAACAACATTATATTTCATGCATCCTTTTTCTCAGTAGCTGTCCAAGGAGGTGTCCCTGTCTCCCCTGGAGTTTATGTCCTATTGAATCTAGGACCAAGACCTCATCCCCAGATCCCATCTGGTTCCCCAATGGCACATTAGCAACAAATTATGAAACCCAACAATCTATTCCCTATGAAGCTGTGCAGTGCAGACCTTGACAGGTGAGGTTGGATTGTGTCTTCATATGAAGTACTAGGATTCAGAGGATATTAGAGAAAAGGTTGATCCATAATGAGCATATTAACTGGACGACTCATTTCATCTAGACACAGCATAAAACGTAACTCTGACCTCCACTGATTATGAAAGACATAGGAGTTTTAAAATGATGATCTCACAGAATAACTCAATTGCCCTCTGTTGAATATGGCTGTAAAATTAGAGAAAAAAAATCTGTGCTCTTATTGAACACTTTAATTTGGAGGTGTGCTTACAAATGGGAAGAGAGTCACTACAGAAAGGAGGCTAATGCCTGCACTAGGAGAAAAATGGAGACAGGGAAGTAAGAAAATCTACAGAAAACATTCCAAAAATGGAGACAGAATTTTTATTGTCATTTAATGAACATTTAGAGCAAGGTTGGTCATGGAACAATTTGAAGACAGAACTAATTTCATATAAACTATCAAATGTGAGTAACATCAACTAAAAACTCTGTCTGGCCTATATTCATGTCAAAATCGTCCACTCTGTATTGCCAAAGGCAAGCTTCTATCCCAACAGTTGTCAGTATCCCACCACCACACTGTCAGAAACGGTGGCATTTGACAGGATACCCAAGTTTCAGTTGCATTAATAGATGTGAAGATTTGAAAAGTGAACCACTTTGAAACTGAAGAAAAAATAGTAACTAGATCTTACAATACACAAAACATTTTACAGAAGCTATTCTAATGTAAATCCTTAACATCTCAATATTGACTTCAGGGAACAGGAAGACAAGTTAATTATGCAGGTTCCAAGCTGCTTATAATCGCTATTTCCAATGCATTTCTATGCTTGCTGATGGAGGAAAATTCTAAACACCTGTCTGTTTTTGTGGTCACATCATTCTAGAAAACATTTCTTCCTTGTACTTTTTCACAGGGCTTTAACAAGCTATATTTTAAAATTACACTTTTGGGGAAATAGCTTTATTGAGAATGGTCCTCCTGTAGGCTTAGGCGTCATGGGAATCACTGCATAGACCAGGTTGGCCTCAATCTCACAGAGATCTACATGATTCTGCCTCCTAAGTGCTGAGATCAAAGGCATGTCCCAACACACTAGGCTAAAAATACGTTTTTACAAATATTTTATTTATTATTTTTATTTTATGTATATGAGTGTATTACTTGCATGAGTGTATATTCACCTGTATTGTGCAATGCTCAGGGAAATTAGAAGAGGGAGTCAGATCCCCTGGAACTGGAGAAACAGATGGTTGTTATCATCTGCCATGTGGATGCTAGGACTCAAACCCAGGACTTCTGCAAGAGCAGCCAGTGCTCTTAACTGCTGAGCCATGTTTCCTGCCCCCTACAACTATTATTTTTAACGTTTTCATTGAATTAAATTCATTTCATTTCTCTGAAAGTTTTGTACGTTTACACAGTGCATATCGATCATATCCATCCACCATGTTTTCCCTCCAATTCCTCCTAACAACCTCACCTGCTTCTCTCCCACCTTCATGTCCTCAATGTGGCTATACTTGTTAATGATCTGGACTCCAGTTAGTACTGCCCATTTTCACATGAATGTGTGGTCGTCCAAGGGCAGAACAAGCTTTTAGAGGCTGCATCCCCCAAAGAGAGTGACCCTCCCTCAGTAGCCACCAACTGTCAATAGCTCCTCTGACAGTGGTAGGGTCTTGATGGCATATGATTCAAGTATTATAATAGTATTTTCCATTGATAATATTTATGCCATAGGTTTAGAATTCTAGAAGGTATTTTGGTAACATATTTTTAAATGTATTACAAAATCTGTATTTTGGTCATGAGTTCAGTCATAAATACTGGGGCTGGAGAGAGGGCTCAGCCACTAAAAGCCTGTACTGAAGTTTCAGAGGACCCAAGTTCAAAACTAAGCACCCATGTTAGGTAAGGCACCACCGCTATAACTCATTCTGATTCTCACTTCTGGCTTCCATGGGCACTCGACTTACACTCAAACGCACAACCTCAAACCAAAATAAACACAAATATACATAATTAAAATAAACAAATAAAATATTTAAAATGAGAAAAAGAAAGAAAGCAGCAAATATCTTTTCTTTGGGCTAGGGTAAGTAGTTCTGAATTGTTTAAATGGTTTATTTCTGTTCTCTGTGTGCAGTACTGATATACCCTGATTCACTTCATTCTGTACCCAAAAAGGGTTTTCCAGTCCCTTAAAAGTAATGGATACTAGAAATGACCCAAAGAGTGAATCAAAACTTACATCAAACTATATCAACAGCACGTTTATACCTTATTTATTTCTACGTTGTACACTGTTACTATGATTACTTCGTTATGTCTTATATTTAAATGTGAAGAATGTCAGTCATTTGTGGTCACAGCTCATGGCAGAGCAGTTGCTTAGCATGTGTACAAGGCACCAGCTTCATTCTCTACAACTGAAAAAGAAATTAGAATGTGTCAACATGGAGACATAGCTCAGATTTAGAACACTCGCCCAGCTCACTTAACACCCTATGTGCAATCTCCAATCCCCAGCATCATAAAAAGACAAATAGAAAATGAAAAAAAGAAAAAGCCTTGCCAGACATTCTCTTGTACAACTGCAATTCCAGCACTCAAAAGGCCAAGACAGGACTGCCACAGGGTTTCAGGCCAGCCTGGGCTACGAACAAAGGCTCTGTTTCAAAACAACAAAAGGAAAACAAGACCAAAGCAAAACAACCAAAACAATAAAAAGTAACAAACTAAAGCCTCAGAAATAGATCGGGAATCTCTTATTTAGTAAGAACCAAGTAACAAAAGATTTCAGTAACCTGCTGGGGCTGGCGAGTCAGAGATTATAAAATCCAGGAAAACCTTTTCTCAGAAAGCGTATTT